CCCGTCCCTGCCCTGGCCATTAACTCCCGGGGTCGGAGCAGTGTCTATGCAGCGTCTGTGTGTCCGGCGCGGCGGGCAGCTGTCCGGGCAGCGAGAGCCGGCGCGGCGGCGCTGGCTCCACCAGCAGCACCACATCTGGTGGCGGTGGCAGAGGGTCGTCGCGGGGGTCCGGGGCACGCGGCAGCTCCAGCGGCACCGGGTAGCTGGGAACCTGCGGGATCGAGGGCAGCCGGGGTCACGGCCAGGCCAGGGATGGGAGAGGGGACTCGGTGTGCCCCCCACCCAGCTTTGGGGTGCACCCATGGGCAGTGGGGGGTGCAGAAGAGGGGCTGCCCCAAACTTGGGGGGCTCAGGAGTGACTCCAACCCACACTGGGGCTGGAGGATGGGGAGAGGGACTGCCTCAAACTTGGGCGTCTGGGAACTAAGCAGTGCTCACCTGAGAGAGAGGCTGGATGGGGGTGATGGGCAGAATGGGCTGCAGTGGACATGGGGGGCCGGGGGGCTGGTGGGGAGACGAGACTGTGCTGTAGGCGGGGGGCACCAGCACGGCCTGACGCTGCAGCAGCTGCATGATGGAGCTGATGTCCGCGGCCATGCGTGTCTCCAGCCTGCAGACAGATACATGTTAGGGTGTGCGCAGGGCACTTTGGGGGTGATTGGGGGGCTCCCATGGGATTGTCCTACCCTTGCTAACCCCCCCAAATACCTGTTGAGCTGCTTCTGGAGCAGGTCGAGGCGCGTCTCCACCTCAGAGCGTTGGCGGCGGCTCAGGGACGGCAGCGGGATGCTGAGGGCAGCGTGTGCTGGGATGGTGCAGCGCGGCAGCTCCTGGTACTGCCGCCCCCGGCTGTCCCCCCAGAAGCTGAAGATGTTGGAGACCCCCGAAAAGGCTCCTGTAAAGGTGAGGGGCCGGGGGGCAGAAAACATCAGCACCCTTGGGGTGTCCCAGCAGGGCATCCCCCAAGCAGGGCACAGGGATACAAAAGCAGAGGGTGTGCAGGGAAAGATGCAGGGCATGGGCTGGGGATCTGGGGGGTCAGACGGAGCGATGGGCGTTTGGGAGCTGCTGGCAGGGCATCCACAGAACCCGAGCAGGGAGGGGATGAATAGGAGATCCCCCATGCCCATCTGGAGCGAGCCCCCCTTGTCCTCACCTGAGAGGGGATTGCACATGTCGCTGCCCTTGCGCTCCTCGGCCTCAACGGGCGTGGGCACCTCGCTGCCTGGACGGGCGCTGCGGAAGGGGGAGAGTGCAGTGGCCCCCGGCCCAGGCACAGGGGGCTCGTCCTCGTCGCTGGAGGGGGAGCTGGAGGGCGAGCTGGAGTGGCAGGGCTCCCACTCAGCTGGCCCGCGTGGGGCCCCCGGCGCCTGGCAACTCCTGCCTGGCCGCAATGCCTTCTGCCCACTCCGCAGCTCCCCGGCGTTGGCTGCGTCTGTGGGGGGGACACACCCTGGGTCACCACGGCCCCTCAGGGCATGGACCTCCCCATCACCCCGGCCTCCTCCGGTCCCACCTTTCTCTGTGCGCCGGCGGAAGGAGAGTTTGCGCTTCCGCAGGCGGTTGAAGCCGTTGTCCAGTTCATCACTGCCCGGGGAGCCAGGGATCATGTTGGTCTGCAGGGATGGAGCAGCAGAGGGTGTGAGACTGGGGGGTCTGCCAGACCCCTCCCACCCCAGGCTGGCAGGGACTAGGGACTGCGGGAAGCTGCATGGGCAGCACATTGTGCTGGTCCCGGGAAGGGCAACGCTGAGAGGCTTTGGTGTGGTGTCTCCCCAGCAGCCAGGCGATGCTCGGGGGCATCTCGTGGTGGCTGTTCCCCATCCCTGGGCATCCCCTGTGCCAGATCCCCTCAACTTCCTCAGGACCCCCCAGGCTGAGCAGGATGGGTGCCTCCTCTGCAGTCCATCCCCCCTATCCCCCTAGCAGCCCCTCACATCGCGCAGGTTGAAGGTGATCTCCAGGCTGGACCAGAAGTGATCGGAGAACTCGGGGTACATGTCTAGCACCTCCAGCAGGTCCTCGCGGTGGATCTTGTGCAGGTCGCAGTAGGTCAGTGCCCGCACGTCTGCGTTGGACTTCCCCGGCCGCGCATACAGGTTCAGTGGCTCCCCAAAGATGTCGTTCTTCCCTGGGGGGGGGGGGACACGGCACCAGCATGGGGTGTCAAGCTTCCTGTTGCCCCCAGGGCTGGCAGGGGCACCCCCTCCCCGGCGCTGGGTCCCTCGGGGGCTCACCCAGAATGGCCACCACCACGTCCCCACGCAGGATCTCGATGGAGCCACGGGAGATGAAGTAGAGGGCGGTGAGGACGTCGCCAGCGTGCACCAGCGTGTCGCCGGGGGGGGCATGGGTGGTCTTGAACTTCATGGCCAGGGCACGCAGGCAGCCCTTGGTGGCACCCTTGAAGGGCTTGCAGTTCTGCAGCAGGCTGCGGTTCAGATGCAGGCAGATGTCTGCCTGCAGGCACTCGGGGAAGCCCTTCAGCACCTGCAGGACATGGTGGGAGAGGTCACACTGTGGGGCCAGGGGGCCGGGGTGGTGGGGGCCGTGCTGCCATCCAGCCACTCACCGCATTCATGTCGATGCCGTTGGTGTAGGACCAGGCGTGCTGGAAATACTCCTCGAGGCGCTGGCGCAGCGGGTTGGGGATCTGGTGGAAGCGGATGAACTCGCGGACACGCAGCATCTGTGTGTGGTAGCGCGCGGTGCCCGAGTACAGGCGCTGGATGATGGCCGACACGTTGCCAAAGATGCTGGCGTACATCAGGGCTGCAGTAGGAGGGCGAGCGGCATGAGGGGCAGCCCCCAGCAACACTTGCTCGGAGCCCCACCACAATGCCAGGACCAGGGGCGCAGGGTGCCCATTGTCATCAGGGCACGTCTCTGTGATCCAGCCCTGCACACGCATGTGAACGCATACGCCCCCCACCCCAAGACAGCGCAGGGAGGTCCCACCGGGCTCCCCCCACCCCAACACACAGCCTTTGCACCCGCACTCACCACGCCCAGGCCTGCAGGAGCACGGGGAGCTCACGGAGCCTCACACACGCAGGGCTGTCCCATGGATGGGCAGCGGCTCCATGACATGCTCAACGGGTGCACGCTGGTGCACACAGGCCCAGCGGTGCGTGCTGACACGTGCGCGTGTTCACCCCTGTGTGCCTGTACATGTTCTGTCACACTCATACAGGCTCACACGTGTATATGGGTGCTCACAAGTGCATGCTCACAAAATCACGGAATCCTCTAGGTTGGAAAAGACCTTGAAGATCATCCAGTCCAACCATTAACCTCACACTGACCGTTAACTCCATCACATCCCTCAGCGCTGGGTCAACCCTACTCTCCAACCCCTCCAGGTATGGGGACTCCACCCCTGCCCTGGGCAGCCCATTCCAACGCCCAACAACCCCTTCTGCAAAGAAATGCTTCCTAACAGCCAGTCTAACCCTGCCCTGGCACAACTCATGTGCACATGTACACCCACACGTGTGCGAGCACACAAGCACGGTCACACACACATGTGATCCCACACACACTCACACGCTCCTACATGCCCCCTCCGCTCCCCTGCAGGCCCACACGCGCCCTCCCTGCCGGCATGGCCGCAGCAGCCCCCCCCGTGGCCGGCTGGGGGCCAGGACACTCACAGCCGATGAGCATGACGCAGATGGAGAAGATCTTCTCAGAGTTGGTGTTGGGGGAGACGTTGCCGAAGCCAACGCTGGTCAGGCTGCTGAAGGTGAAGTACAGCGCGGTGACGTACTTGTCCTTGATGGTGGGGCCATAGAGGGGGTTGCTGGCGTTGAGGGGCTTGCCGATCTGGTCGCCCAGGGAGTGGAGCCAGCCGATGCGCTGCCCCTCCACGTTGCCGATGGCGTACCAGATGCAGGCCAGCCAGTGGGCAATGAGGGCGAAGGTGCACATCAGGAGGAAGAGCACGGCTGCGCCATACTCTGAGTAGCGGTCCAGCTTGCGGGCCACCCGCACCAGGCGCAGCAGCCGCGCCGTCTTCAGCAGCCCAATCAGGGTGGTGGTCTGCAGGGTGGAGGGGCAGGGGGGTGTCACTGAGGGAGACTCCCACACAGTACCCCCCAGAAAGGTAGAGGGGGTTCCCTGCCCCAACCCAGGGAACCCCATTCTCCCTGCAGGCAAGGGCAGCCTGGCCCTGCCTCCCCGCAGAGACACCCCTCTGCCCCCAGCACAGGACCAGGCAGCGGGCAGCAGCCAGGCACAGCCTTCCCAGCGTCCCCACCTGTCTGGGCACCACCAGCCCCAACAGTGCAGGGTGCCAGGGCCTGTCCTGCCCCAGCCCCTCTCCCCACTTAAGGCTCAGGTGTCCCCATCAGCGCCCCTCTGGGGCAAAGACACCCCCCCCTGCTGCTAGGGGGGGGTCCCACAGAGGCCCATTAACCACTGGATTAAACCCCGTTGAGCGTGGCACCGCTCTATTGGTGCTGGGGTGCTGGGGGGGCCCCCCAGGGCCAGACACAGATTCACCCACCGCTGTGCTCCGTGCTACATGCTGCCTGTGCCCAACCCAGCACCCACCACTCCGGCACTGCAGGCACCCAGCCCCAGCCTGAGGACACAGGTAGGACCCCCAAGCATCACCCTCCAGGGAGCACCCAGCACTGAAACAGCACCCAGCCCAGACAGGGCACGATGGCACCCCAGCAAGGTGGCAGGTACCTCCTCAGAGCCGGAGCCAAAAATGAGCAGGTCAAAGGGGATGGCGGCGACCATGTCGATGAGGAACCAGCCTTTGAAGTAGTGGATGGCAATCTTCGCAGGGTGGCTGACCACCTCCTCGTTGGAGTTGACGTAGGTGGTGCGGAAGTTGATGAGGATGTCGATGATGAACATGATGTCCACGATGAGGTCGACCACGTTGAGGGGGCTGCAGGAGTAGCCACAGTTGTGGCGCTGGGCCTCCTCCTGGTCGTTGAGCAGGAAGGCGGCCGAGTAGGGGGTGAAGATGGCCGTGTAGATGACCAGCAGCAGGATGAGCCAGTCCCACACTGCCTTGAAGGGGCTGTAGTGCAGGATGGTCCATTTGTGGATGCGCGGCGCCTGCAGCTTGTACTCGGGGAGGACGTCGGCGCCCAGCGACAGCACCTGGGCAGGCGGGCAGGGCTCAGCTCCATGGGGCTGCACCCCCTCACCAGCTCCCAGCTGCACCACTCCCACCCCCTGCCACCCCCAAAGTGGCAGCAGCCACCCTGGGGCTCTGCCCGGGCTCCCTGCCCCAACAGGACCCTGGCACAGCTGCAGCCAAACCAGGGCTGGCAGCCCCGGAGACACCCGGTGACGCAGCTGCAGGCTGGCACAGCCACCCTGGGCTGTTGCTGTGCCAGGGCACGAGTGCCACGGAGCTCCCACTGCCCCTGCCCCCCCCCTCCCCCCTACGTGCACACATATGTGTGTGCATACACGCAGCCTGAGCAGGGGGGTCTAGGGGGGGCATGGCCATGTCCCGGCAGCTGCGCCCATCCATCCCAGCTGCCCGGCACCGGGATTAGATGTACTGGCCACGGGATGGGGGGCACTGGCTATAAATAGGGACGGGGTGAGTGGGTGCTGTGGGGCAGAGGGGCCCTGCCGTGGGGAGGGAGTGCCAGGGCTGTGGAGTCCTGGGGCTGGTGGCCACCGGCCACCTCCAGCTGCTCCACAGGGAGCCACAGGTATCCGAGGGGTGCCCAGGGACAGGAGAAGGGGGTGATGCCAACCCTGGCCATGCCCCCCCTGACCACTGCCGTGCAGGAGTCCCAGCACAGCCCAGTTCGGCCAAGGGGGCACAGCCTGGGAGCACAACCCCAAGGGGGGGGTCCCTCTCAGCGCTGACCCCGCTTCCCAGCCATGACGCCCCCACACCGTGCCGAATCGCTGGTGCCTGGCAGCGGCACAGCTCGTACTGGCCGCCTGTGCCACTGCGGCTGCACCACGAGAACAGGAGAATGCAACGGGGCGCAGTCACCCCTCGGTCCCATCCTGCACCCCAGCCACAGGGGGGTGCAGCACTCCTCGGGGGGGCTAGCGAGGGCTCACCAGGTCATGCTGCCCATGGAGGCTGTGGGTGCTTGCTGAGGCAGCAGCAGAGCGAAAGGCGGCTTTACGTAACCATGCCAAACCCAGAGCCAGTGGCAGCTGTGGGGGGACAGACCCCGAGCCCACTCACAGCCACCACTAGGACACGGGTCCCCTGGGGTGCGCACAGCATCCAGACCCTCTGGTCTTGCGCTTGGCAGCACCCACCACCCCTCCCCAGAGCAGTCCTGCGGGCACAGCTTTGCCAGCCCCCCAGCCCCGGGGACTGCCAGCATGTGCCACAGCCAGGTAATGACGGTACCGGTACCTTCTCCTCCTGGCTTGGCCCCGCGGCGTGAGCAGCGTCGCTGTCAAGGCACAGGCAGGTGCCGCAGAGGGAGATGCCGGACATGGGTCCTGCTCCGGCCCCAGGGAGGGTTGCGGGGGGGCCCGGCAACTCCTGGAGCAGCTGCAGGAGCGACGCCAGCATCCTCACGGCCACCCGTGGGGCCGGGTCCAGCCCATGGTGCACTGGTGGCACTCAGCCCCTGCCGCCCATCCGCCAGCTGCCCCACGGGCACCGGGGACACGGCCCCCCACCAGCAGATCCCGCACCCATCCAGACACCCCCGCCGGCACCCAATACCCTCCCCGGGCTGGCCGAGCACAGCAGCCGAGCACGGCAGCCGGGCACCCCTCGGCAGGACGGCGTCGGCGGGAGGCGAGAGTGGCCGCGCGGCAGGCGGCAGACACGCACCACTGGCAGCCGAGAGAAAAATTATTGGGGCGGAAATTTTTCCC